GATACGATCTATAATTTGATGAAGATGGGGGAGGCGGAGCTGCAGGCGGGAGAGGGAACAGATAGGCCGATTTATCCTACGACGTTTACTGGGGCGGAGATCTTGGTGAATCCTTTTGAGGATATGGTAATGAGAGAGGTGAAGGCGAGAACAGAGGTTGGGCAGAAGCAGGAGGGCAAGAAGAAGGGGAAAAAGAAGGGTGCGAAGGTGCTGCTGAGCTTTGGGGGTGAGGAGGGAGAAGATGGTGTGGTGGAGCCGGTGCTGAAGAAGGAGAAGTTCAATACGAAGCTGGTTAGTGCCAGTGGTGATGCAGGACCAAAGAAGGCGGTCAATAGAGCTTTAAAGCCCCCCCGAGCGGGGTGTGGAGAAGAGCATACGGCGAAGGTCATCTCGGTCGAAGACTCCGCCCCACAGGGTTGAACCCAACAAGGAGATGCAGCTTCCGCTGCCCGAAGATGAAGAGCCGTCAAGGTCACCGTCTAGCTCGCCAGAGCCAGCGCAGGTGGACAAAGTCTCTAGCTTACTGGACAAGACGAATGCCCAGATTGCAGATTTGAAGGCTTCTATGAAGCGCAACGTGCAAATGGCACCAGCTGCTGATACTAGGAAGAAGTCTGCCCTGGAACAGATGATCCCAGAAACCTCCATGCGTGGGCGTAAGCGCAAGCATAACGGTGATGCACCTGCAGACAAGCAGACACTGGACATACTGAATGCATTCCGCGCTAAGCTGGAACAGGCACCTCCAAAGATTGAACCCGCCAAAACACATGTGACTCAAGAGCAAGACAAGCAAGACGGAGTCAATGGTCATGACAAAAAAGAAGTAATCAATGATGATGATGATGATGATGATGATGAAGCAAAATTATGCGATCTTCACTTTATTGCCAACTGCCAGTCATGTCAGTCGTGGTACAATGAAATGTCAAACAATGCCAACGGGCAGGATGATGATAATCAAGGATGGATGTATCATGCTTTGAGCTTTGAAAAGGACAGGTTGGGCAAGGATTTGAATTGGAAGAAAAAGAACGAGGAGGAGCTGGTTGTGATTGATCCTAGGGAGAAGGCGAAGGATATCAGGGAGGAGCAGAGAGCGAAAAAAATGGCTAGGATGGGTGGGAGTAGTGCCTGGGATAGGGATAGAGATCGGGGCCGAATACCAGATAGGAGAGCGGGTGAGAAGGGGTGAAGATTCTTACACTGGATCATGAACTTAAGAGTAGATAGAGCTTAGGTCAGGGAAGTAGCCCATATAATGAAAAACCCATCTCCAACACCCACGTGGTTGTTTAAGTGCCCCGCCCTTTCCTACATGTAGAGAGAATTCAGGTTTGGAAGCTGTTGTTCATTGGTAGCTGCGGCTCGCGCTTATGATTCTCGGATAGCAGACCAATAAGAACAGCCCAATTATGTCATAAGGCTGATTGATATCATACAGGTCTTTCGGAGTTACAGATATTGTGTGATAGTCATTGCAATTGCGTCGCGCCAACTCATATTTCTATATCTGTGTACCAGAACTCTCTATTTCTTGTCCATACTTTCATGTAACCTTTCATGCGCCTCAGATATTGACTCCAAAGCACACTTGCCTCACTCCATTTCCACCTCTTTCCGGGATTGTCCCAGAGCAGTTCCTCAAATCTCTCTAGGCGCCTACCCTCCTTGAACAACAATTCTTTCATGTATGTTGCGTCCGTTGCATGTGTCTGACTGATACAGCTGCAAGAGACACATCAACAACGCCGCTCTGTGACCAAAGCCTTGCGTGATCAGGCTGCCGCCCCAAACACCTTCATAATCCTCCGTCGCCCTTCTACTAGATCGTACCGTCTTCTAGATCCTACTCCACACTCCGTGCTCCGCGCTCCGTAAGTTTCTCGATACTTTGCCTCCAACAGCGACCCCATGCTCGGGAAGCACCAACCTGCTTGAAGACTGGGACCTGGGGCCGCCTGATCCCATTGGAAGACTCGGGAAGCCGTGGCTTTATCCGAGGAGCAGTGACACATCTACGGCGTTCAGAGTACAGAGGAATTCAATGCAAGCGCAACGGGCTTCACTGAAGCGTTCAGCGTCTGGGGCCTTTGCGCGACAGCCGGAGGTACAAGAAATAGGGACACGCAATAGCCAGTCTCCAACAATGCCCACCCTCCGCGCCGGGAAAGCTATGCTCGTCCCCCACCAATCGCAATCCAATGGCCTTCCCAACTCTCCAGATATGTCCAACAGCCACGGTTACGCAGCGCGGGATCAGTATCAATACCCAACTCAAGCCGATGTACTCAGCCACATGCCCCAGAATCTTGAATCCACAGCCTTGTTGAACAATTACCGCGATCAAGGTAATCCGTACTTCAAAGAACAGATGCCCTCTTCTCCAGCACCCAGTAAAGCTATGCGATACATGCCGGACAATCAGATGGATATGGTGAAGTACCATAACAACAATACAATGAACGAATTTCCGCCAGCGCCAGGCTATGAAATGCAAGGGCCTTCACAAGGCTATTCGAATCAGGAAGATGACCTGGATCAGCAAGCTCTGCGGGCAAAGAGGGACGCGGAAGCAAAGCGCAAGCAGATACCGCCGTTCGTGCAGAAGCTTAGCAGGTAAGGCACCACAGCCTCTATGTAGGAGTTCAAGCTAACGTGCATAGTTTCCTCAAAGATCCAGCTAAGGAAGGTTTGATACGGTGGTCTAGGAAAGGAGACTCTTTCATCGTCATCGACGAGGATGAGTTTGCGAGAACCTTGATACCAGAACTGTTCAAGCACAACAATTACGCCTCATTCGTGCGACAGCTGAATATGTATGGATTTCATAAGCAGGTGGCTCTATCCGATGGTTCCATGAAAGCTGGCGAGAGAAAGAACAAAAGCCCTAGCGAGTATTCAAACCCATACTTCCAGAGAGACCGTCCGAATCTGTTATGGCTGATTCAAAAGCCGAAGAACGCTCCAATGAAGGGCACTGGGAAGGGAGGCACAAGAGCAAAGCAAGAAGATGCGGATGAGGAAGTCGATGACACCTTCAACCGAGATAGCTCGATACCCCCAAATTATGGACCGATTGACAGTGGTACCGGCATAGGCACTGGCCGGCAGCCTCTCATGCTAGGCAATGCCGGGACTAGTCTTCCACCTGACCAATTCGCAGCAATCCAGCAGGAGCTCGCAGACATCCGAGCCAACCAGGTCAAGATCACCAAGCTGCTGAACATGACACAAATAAGGCATGATCAGCTCTACCATCAGGCAAAGGCTTTCCACCACATGCATGAACAACATGATAACTCCATCAACGCTATCCTAACCTTTCTTGCGACAATCTACAACAAGAATCTCGATCAAGGAACGACAATGGACATGAGAAACCTCTTCAACGGTCTGCCAAATAAGCAAGGCCAGGGTAATGTTGTCGAGGTTGGCGATGACAATACTCAGAGTCCGAGCAATGTTCAAAGTCAGCAGCAGCCGTTCCGAAGACAGCCATTACTTCTCAAAGACGGTAGTGCGAATTCGCCAGCTACGACCCTGGACAGTCCCAAGAATTACAACCAATCCTACGGCAAAGCGACTCCAGACAGCTACGAATATCCTACCAGATCTCGCTCCAACATGGATTCTCCAGCAATTCGAGAACTCTCTGACCGCGGTACCTCTTCCAATCGGTCCTCCCAATCGCCCCAGATCAAGCCAAACCACGACGCTGACCAGCAAATGCCCGAGGCAGACATAATGTCAGTGATCAATTCGCACAACGCAAATGCGCTATCTCGGAACGATTCCACCAGCACCCGGATGGAATTTCCTGAAGCTTTCTCTCATTTGCAAAATAGTAACAATTTGACACCACGCCAGCGGGAGGACATGCTGAGCATGATGTCCAATGAACTGGCTAATAGCCCTCAAAATGGCGCAAACCACGGGAACAGTAGCTTAACGTCCTACAGTCCGATTGGCAGTACCGCCGGTTCCAATATCGAACAACTCGAGTTGGAACGGAATCGCATCAACCAGATCCAACAACAATTGCAGGAGCAATCCGCGCGTATGGAGAACCTGATGGGTAATGTGGTCCCATTGAGTCCGACTGGTTCGATTCCGGGAGTAACGGATCAGAACCACAACAATGCAAACCCGGAACTGGGCTTTGACGACATTTTCAATACGACCGACTACTTCAACGGCGACAATAATCTCAACGGGGATTATGACTGGTCGAACAGCAATGGCAACCTACCGAGTTACGACTTCAGTGTCGACGCGCCCCCTAGTGACAATGGGGCAGACACCGGGGAAAACATGTTCAGTACCGACGGCGCAGGAGGAGGCAGAGTCACGGAAGCAGGCAGCAGTGAGGCCACGAGTCCGGCTAACACGGTGGACGATGGCGCCGCTGGCGGGGACGAAGCGGTGGGAAGTCCCGGAAAGAGGAGACGCATACGTTGAATCTGGGGGGTTTGCGTGCCACCAGAACGACGCAAAAGGTGTGGAGTCGCTCTGTTACTCCCGCCCGAAGAGGCTACAAGGATAGGATTATTGATTTATGATACCCACGATCATTGATTTGCTGTGAAGCGAAGGCCTTTAATAGGGGTTTGAATCGGATGATACCTATGGACAGACATAGAGATGGAAGCATTGTATTTTTATTAGCTCTGTGAATGAATCGAAAGCACCTTTCTCAGGGGCAAATTCTAACCATTGATTCAAACCGTCCAAAATCCTCAACCTCGTGCTTTTAACCCGGACACAAACAGCGTATGACATACCGTCAATCTTGCCACCGTCGACCCAGAACCCGGACAGACGGGTGGGTGGGTGGTCAAGCAATAGCATTCGCGCGTCTTAGACCTAACACATACGTATATGTAGTAGATCCCCTTCCTTCCTTCCCCCCACAGCGATCGAAAACGGTGCACCTGGCTTGTATGTAAAACTGTTGTGTGTAGTCTCGCTCACCCTCTTGAATCGCTTCTCCTCTAGATTACAAGGTGAGGGAGGGCGGGAGGGTAATATGTATGTTCGTGTTCATGTTCTTTTGTTCATGTTCATGTTCATGTTCATGTTCATGTTCATGTTCATGTTCATGTTCATGTTCATGTTCATGTTCATGTTCATGTTAGGAAAAAGGAGTGATCACTCGGTTCTGTTGGTCTGTCTGTCTGTCTGTCTGTCTCTATCGCGGCTGCAACCCCCATCCCCATCCCCCCCCCCCATCCCCATCCCCTACACATCCCGAAGAACCGAAACGCGGAAATGGGGGCTACCCGTTACGGGCGCGGGCGCCGGCGTGCTGGACTCGACGACGGGAATGACGGGACGGTCGAGGTTGTCTGATTGGGGAGGGGGTTAAATGGGTGGGGTTGTAGGGCTGGATGTTGGGGTTGGGGAGGAGTCATTCATTCATTCATTCATTCATTCATTGATTGATTGGTGATGTTTGTTCTGGTTGCTGGGCTGTGGGGTAGGGGGGATGGGATTTGTCTAGGTACGGTGGTGGAGGTTGGTCTTGGAGGCAATGCAATGGGACGGGGCGGGTCGGAGGGTAACGTTTGGGGAAATGGGGGGGGGAGGGTGGGTTGATACGACGTGGATGGCGTATCTACACGTGTGATGGGATATTCAATGTGGTGTCATAATGGCGATGTTGCAGATGGGACGGAGGGAGTCACTCTGGGGTTGTTGGAAGGTGCACAGTGGATGAGTTTGAAAATGTAGCAATTCATTTAAACCTCGCTAACATGAGCACACAAGTCTAATTACACGCCGAAAGCACCAGCTTTTCTCCTTTCGCGAAATGCATCATCGTAGCAAAAGTTGCTCTTCTAAGTAGAACTAGGACTGGGCGTATTCGCATCTATGGGGGCGCGGAGCAGCGCAGTCGAAAGTAAGGAAATTGGGCGTGGTTGCTTTAATCGACCTCCTCAACGGTTCTGCCAAGACAGTTAGTACACGATCGACCTTGTCAGCAGTCGAAAGATTAGAACTTACGGTCCGTCATCGCCACCAGCTGCACCACCAGGGCCACCAGCACCTGGGAAGCCACCGCCGGGCATTCCTCCACCTGGCATGCCACCCATACCACCCATACCGCCTGGCATACCACCCTCGCCGCCAGCGCCACCATACATCTTAACCATGATAGGGTTGGCAACACCTTCAAGCTGCTTTTGTTGGCCTTCGTATTCTTCTACCGTAGCAGTCTGGTTGTCATCCAACCAGTTGACAGTCTTATCGATCTCGGCCTTGAGAGTCTCCTTCTCTGAAGCATCGAGCTTCTCGTCGACCTTGGGATCACCGATAGTGTTGCGCAATGAGTATGCGTATGACTCGAGTGCGTTCTTGGCGGAGATACGAGCAGATTCGGCCTCATCCTCAGCCTTGTACTTCTCAGCTTCAGACAACATACGCTCGATGTCTTCCTTTGACAGACGGCCCTTGTCGTTGGTGATGACGATCTTATTGGTCTTACCGGTGCCCTTCTCAAGAGCAGAGACGTTCATGATACCGTTGGCATCGAGATCGAAGGTAACCTCGATTTGTGGGACACCACGAGGCGCAGGTGGGATACCGGAGAGTTCGAACTTTCCGAGCAGGTTGTTGTCCTTGGTGCGGGCACGCTCACCCTCGAAGACTTGGATAAGCACACCTGGCTGGTTGTCCGAGAAGGTGGAGAAGACCTCAGATTTCTTGGTGGGGATAGTGGTGTTGCGCTTGATGAGCGCAGTCATGACACCACCAGCGGTCTCGATACCGGAGGACAATGGCGCAACGTCCAAGAGGAGAATCTCGTTGGTGGACTTGGATGATGTATCGCCGGAAAGGATGGCTGCCTGGACGGCTGCACCGTACGCAACAGCCTCGTCGGGGTTGATTGGACTTGTTCGGCTCCTTGCCGTTGAAGAAGTCGGACACAAGCTTCTGGACCTTGGGGATACGAGTAGAACCACCGACCAAGACCATCTCGTGAACCGAGGACTTGTCGATCTTGGCATCGCGGAGGACACGCTCAACGGGCTCCATGGTGGAGCGGAAGAGATCTTGGCAGAGCTCCTCAAAACGAGCACGAGTGATGGAGGTATAGAAGTCAATGCCCTCGAAGAGTGAGTCGATCTCGATCGAGGTTTGTGCTGATGAGGAGAGAGTTCGCTTGGCCCGCTCGCAAGCAGTTCGGAGACGACGCAGGGCACGGGCGTTGGAAGATAGATCTGGTGATAAACGTTTAGTAAATGAACAAGTAGTAAGGAACGGCACATCTGCCAAAGGAGGGAAGGAACCTCAGTCCATCCGAGGAAGAGGCCATTTCAAACAAAGAGAATTCAAGTAAAAGAGATGGGAGGGAATGATCACTAACCTTTCTTATGCTTTCGTTTGAACTCCCCGACGAAGTGGTTGACCAGACGGTTGTCGAAGTCCTCACCACCCAAGTGAGTGTCACCAGCAGTGGATTTGACCTCGAAGATACCCTCCTCGATGGTTAGGAGAGAGACGTCGAAGGTTCCTCCACCCAGATCGAAGATGAGCACATTTCGTTCACCCTCGGCTTTCTTGTCCAAACCATAGGCGATGGCTGCCGCGGTGGGCTCGTTGATGATACGGAGAACGTTCAGACCAGCAATCAGACCAGCGTCCTTGGTGGCTTGACGCTGAGAGTCGTTGAAGTATGCGGGGACAGTGACAACAGCGTTGTTGACAGTGCCACCCAGGTATGATTCCGCAGTCTCCCTCATCTTGGTCAACACCATTGAGGAGATTTCTTCTGGGGTGAAAGATTTCGTCTCGCCCTTGAACTCGACTTGGATGACTGGCTTGGCCGCTTTGTCAACGACCTTGAAGGGGAAGTGTTTCATATCGGCCTGCACTTCAGCATCTGCGAACTTGCGTCCAATCATACGCTTTGCGTCGAAGACTGTGTTGCTGGGGTTCATGGCGACTTGGTTCTTGGCCGAGTCACCAATGAGACGCTCTGTGTCGGTAAAGGCAACGAAGGAGGGAGTGGTGCGGTTGCCCTGGTCATTTGCAATGATCTCAATTCGGTCATCACGGTAAATACCTACGCACGAGTATGTCGTGCCCAGGTCGATACCAATAGCTGGTGCCATGATGCGTGTTTATGTGATCAAGGTGATGTTAAGTGGATAACAATTTAATTCGACTGTAGTCTATTGTCGTGACAGGCGTAAAAAGAGAGGGAGAGAGAGATGAGTAGTAGAGTGTGAAGTTGTAGAGGAAGAGTTGTGCTGTTGTGAAGAAGACAATTAAATATGAGAATGTGAGGCTGGTGAAATTTGCATCGAAACTTCTTTCTCGGCGTTTCTAGCGTCTTCCACCACCCAAGAGAACCTTCTACAAACTTCGCGACAACACTGAATCGCCGCGAAATTCCCAACTTATCTCCGAAAGCTATGGAAACTCAAGTATCTAATGAGCTTCGTCTATGCTAAATGTCACTTTTAATATTAATTTAATGATTTATAGTCAGACTTGAAAAGAATCAGACACAGAATGGGAGAATTTAATTCCATCCTTTTTTGTCTGCACTTCGCAACGTCATATTTGGTACTACGATAAGATAAAGATCTCGCTTAGAGTACTTAGCTTGACTTCGGACAGGACATATTAATTGAACTTAGGACTCTGCAGTCAGAAATCTCAAATCATCATAAGAGGGATTCCAACCTGGCCATCGCTGAAACCCCATTGATCATGTGAAAATTTACCATCAACTACAATCATGAGTCGGTTTGAAGAGCTTCCAGACAACTTCCATGAGTCGCTCAATCTCAATCTTCCCCCAGCGCCAGCTCATGCACCACCCTCCGCCCCGATGTGTTCCCAGCAGCTTCCTCAGATTCCACCCCATTTCCAATTGATGCAAGCCGGCTAGAGCAAAATGGAACCACACCGGCACTACCGCCTCATATGGCATCTGTACGGTCTCATACCGCAGATGAAATTGTACAGATGATGAACCGTACACCATTGTTTATGACTTCCCTTGAAAGCGCCGAAGGCGAAGGTATGTGGCATGTGGCAGACTTCAGTCGAGGAGCGTATTCATATCTAAGAACAGGCTAGACGGAGAGAATGTGGAGCTTGATGCTCTTCGAGCACTACAATACGAAGGCACTCCAGCCGAGATCGCCCAAGGCTTCAAAGAGCAGGGAAACGAGGTGGTCAAAATGAAGCGGTGGAAGGATGGGAAAGAGTACTATACCAAGGGTCTTGCTGTGCTTGCGCAGAGGAAAATGGTTCGCTCGCTCAGATCACCGGAGGAGACTGGGGAGAAGCCTTCAATTGCAGAAGACGAAGCAGAAATAAGGAAGCAAAAGGAGCTTGAAGAAGCTTGCTACGTCAACCGAGCGCTTTGCAATTTGGAGTTGAGTATGTTCTCCCAGTCTCCGACTCTAGCTCATGCAGACCCAAAGCTTACATCTACGCAGAAAATCACCGATCTACAACCCTCGACTGCGCATCAGCCCTTCGCCTTAATCCCAAGAACGTCAAAGCATACTACCGCTCTTCTCTTGCTCTCTTTGCTCTCGACAAGCTTGCCGAAGCTTCGGACGCCTGTACTCGGGGTCTTACAATTGACCCTTCAAACGCCGCCTTGAAGGGATTTGCCACTAAGATCGAGGCCCGGCACACATCGCTGAGCGCCATCGAGCAGAAGAAGCGGGAGCGCGAACAGCGTGCACAGAAAGAAAGGTTCATGTTAAAGACTGCACTTCGCGCTCGCAACATCCGCATGCGCAATACTGCACAGCCCCCCGAAATGGAAGACGCATCTATTCACCTGTCACCAGATCCAATTGCTCCCACCAGCACCTTAATGTTTCCAGTGGTGCTGCTCTACCCGCTCCACTTGCAATCGGATTTCGTTAAAGCCTTTTCGGAAACAGATACAGTTCCCAACCACTTGGAGTACATATTTCCATTGCCGTGGGATGAGAAACACGAGTACATGCTTGGATCTGTGGAATTCTACATGGAGACTGGCAGCGGAGGGTTGATCAAGGTGGGCAAGAAAGTGAGTCTGGGGAAGGTGCTAGGAAGTGATGGCATGGAAATCGTGGACGGCATTGTAAGAATCAATGTACTGCTCAAGGCGAGAGCAGCTGGATGGATCGAGGAGTTGAAAGTCAGGAAAGCTTCTTAAGGAAACTCCGTAACGAATCATATTGAAATCAGGCGAGAATAAGATTCTGACGCTCCTCGCTCGGCCCAATGTTTGGGATTGAGACACCTGAGAAGCCTGAGAAGCAGAAGCACGCTCGAGTTTATACCTTCCACAAGCCGGAATGCCACTCTGCAGCTCCGACACGACCTCTTGGCTGCCACCAGACTTGGGAGCCAACTTGAAAGCTTGATGACAGCAAAATCTCATTGTGCAGATTCATACCTAAGCGAACCAATCACAATCTGTCAGGGTCGAAACGTAGTGTGATTCTATAACAAGCGACATGGGCGGGGCAGGCCTGCTTCAGCTCAAGGTTCAGAAATCCTTGCTGGCACAGACGGAACGTTTTAGGTACTAGGTACTTCCCCCAAATGGTTGGTGCTCGCCCGACAGCAGCAACGAGTCCCAGGGTAATAGCTGTACGGTTTCCCCGCCTTTGGGCGCTGGTCCTGCACTGATGGACGTAGATGATATTTCGGAACTTTTGTGTGGCTCGCAGACGAAGGCCTGGGCCCGGTCAGCCCCGAGATCTGTGAAGTGAAAGCCATTGGACGGACGCAACCAGATGGGCGGCCGTCAGGAGATAAAGTCGATAGAGCCTAGAGGTCCGGGAGTTGGGCAGAGGGGTGATCATGCTCGAAGACGTGTCCTTCCAGTAGGCGCACCAAAAGTCGTATTCGGATTTTCGCTTTTAGTCAATTGTCCTCAAGCGCAATGAGTCTTGCTATGATATGGTCCATTGGCCAGGCTGAGCAAAAGCATGAATGTAGAGATGATGATCTTCCAGTCATACGGTTGTAGATTATCATTTACCAAAACACCGGCATCATTCTTACCAGTTGAAAAGACAGTATCTTTGTCCTATGATATGCATGGGAATACGATATAGGAAAGGTGAAATATCAGAGTGGAAAAAGTGGAGTGCATGAAGTTTATTCTCTATTACGCACTAATACTGCAAAGATCTCAAAAACCGCTCTTCCCATTGGTCCATCGTCGCTTATCTCTATCGAACGAATTTACTTCAAAAATCAACGGCAAAACTGCAAACTACAAAACACAACTGCACAACATCTCCGCCGCCTATTTCTCTGCCTATTTCTCTGCCTTTCTCTAGCTGGACTGGGGAACAAAGAGGAACAAACTTCCGAATACTTTACTTTTGCTTGTAGCTTGTACTTTCCGCTGCGTCATCAATCAATCCGTGGCAAAGTCGAACAGTGTGGGGTTCATTTCGCCTCGACCAATAATTTTATTTTCTTCTTTCTTACCTTTTACTTCTTCCATTTCCCCCCTCCCATAACTCTTCCCCCACAACAGCCTTCTCAAACACCTTCTTCTACCTCTGCCAAACTTTCAAGTCGTCAACCTCAAAAGTCCCAAAGGCTCTACCAAGTTCCAAATTGCAAATTACCAACCACATTTCAGTCTGCGCGCGGAAAGAATACCAACGGTCGCCCTCCGTAGGATGGGTCTCGTGGAGGAAATTTATGGACCACAAATAGAGGAAGAACAGTCGTCTGCCAGTGTATACGAGTACCAAAACACCCCGGAGAACCGGTCATGGGCCGGGGCTCTGCCCGTGAAGCAGGGTCTTTACGACCCTGAGTACGAGAAAGATGCGTGTGGTGTTGGCTTCGCTGCGTCAGTACCTACCAGTCCCGGTGGCAAGAATCTTCGCTGACCTTTCGACAGCCACATAAAGGGCAATGCGAGCCACAAGATCATCAGCGATGGTGAGCAATCTGCCACGTATACCCTTTGATCCTACAAGCCAAACTGACATATGGTGGGGCACAGCACAAAACCTACTATGCAACATGACCCATCGAGGGGCCGTTGGCTCCGACGCCCGAGACGGCGATGGCGCAGGTGTCATGACCTCGATGCCCCACAAATTCTTCATCAAGAACTTCGCAAAGGAGACAGGGTTCGATCTGCCTCCGCAGGGTCAGTACGCTGCAGGAAATCTCTTTTTCAAACCTGACACAGAGATCCTTAAGGAGTCCACAACCAAGTTCGATGACATCGCGGAAGATTTGGGCCTGAGGGTGCTCGGGTGGCGAGAGGTACCTCGGGATTCAAGCTTGCTGGGGCCAGCGGCGCTTTCAAGAGAGCCATTGATCCTGCAGCCTTTCGTCGTTTTGAAGTCGGCTTATGGCAATGGGAATGCACCGGAGATCACGGATGCTGAAAACTTCGACGAGCTACATTTCGAGCGTCAGCTCTACGTTCTACGAAAGCGCGCCACCCATACCATTGGCCTACACAATTGGTTCTACCTGTGCTCGCTGAGCAACAAGAACATCGTGTATAAGGGCCAGCTGTCACCCGTCCAGGTGTACCAGTACTACCATGATTTGGTGTCTGTCGACTATGAAGGCCACTTTGCCCTGGTGCATTCGCGATTTTCGACCAACACATTCCCCAGCTGGGATCGGGCTCAGCCACTGCGATGGGCAGCTCACAACGGTAAGCCGCAATCCACCGCATGACTATTTGAGCACCATCGACTAAGGAACTACAGGTGAAATTAATACGCTACGAGGCAACAAGAACTGGATGAGAGCAAGAGAGGGTGTCATGAAGTCAGACTTCTTCAAAGACGAGCTGGATCAATTATACCCGATCGTTGAGGACGGAGGTTCTGATTCCGCCGCTTTCGATAATGTGCTCGAGCTTTTGACCATCAACGGGGTTCTCTCCCTCCCCGAAGCCATTATGATCATGATACCCGAGGCTTGGCAGGACAATGCTGCGATGGACCCTGAGAAGGCCGCATTTTATGAATGGGCAGCTTGTTTGATGGAGCCTTGGGATGGCCCAGCGCTCTTCACCTTCGCCGATGGCAGATACTGCGGTGCAAACCTGGACAGAAATGGATTACGACCTTGCAGATACTATGTTACGGACGATGACCGTATTGTCTGTGCATCCGAGGTCGGGACGATTGCTATTGAACCAGAGAAAATTGTGCAAAAAGGCCGACTGCAGCCTGGCAAAATGCTTCTCGTTGATACTGTAGCAGGTCGCATCGTAGATGACGCAGAGCTCAAGCACAATGTGTCTACTCGACAAGATTTCAGATCATGGCTGCAAAAGGAACTCATAGAGCTTCCTAGCGTATACCAGCGTCTTGATGAGGGGGGCATGGATCTTGGGTACAAGCTCAATGAAACCAAAGTGCAGGAAGATCCGATGTTGAAGGCCTTCGGCTACTCATTTGAACAAGTCAGTCTGCTACTGGGCCCCATGGCTGCAGACTCGAAGGAAGCGCTGGGCTCAATGGGCAACGACGCACCTCTCGCATGTCTCGCGCAACAGCCACGACTTCTTTATGAGTACTTCCGTCAGCTCTTTGCCCAAGTCACTAATCCTCCCATCGATCCCATCCGTGAGGCCATCGTCATGTCTTTAGAATGCTACGTTGGTCCTCAAGGCAATTTGCTCGAGATGGGCTCATCCCAGTGCCACCGTCTGATGCTTCCCTCTCCTGTTCTTTCCATCCAGAATTTTAACGCCGTGAAGAACATTACTACACTGTATCGCGAGTGGACCGTCAAGTCGATTGACATCACGTTCCCCAAGGAGGAGGGCATCCAGGGCTACATTGATGCATTGGACCGGATTTGCGAGTCGGTAACGGAAGGAATCGAGAACAAGGACAGAGTGATCATCTTGTCTGATCGAAACACCAACGCCGAGCGCGTTCCTGTCTCTGCACTTTTGGCTACTGGCATGGTCCATCACCATATGGTCCGCAACAAGTGGCGATCCCAGGCAGCTCTCATCGTTGAGACTGCTGAGGCTCGTGAAGTGCATCACATGTGTGTCCTGCTTGGCTACGGTGTCGATGCTGTCTGTCCCTACTTGGCCATGGAGTGTATCCTCAAGATGAATCGCGAGGGGCTTATCAGGAAGAAATTGTCTGATGAGCAAATCATTGACAACTACAAGTATTCTTGCGATGGAGGGATCCTGAAGGTCATGAGCAAGATGGGTATCTCTACACTGCAAAGCTACAAAGGGGCACAGATTTTCGAAGCTCTGGGAGTCGATAACAGTGTGGTTGACCAATGTTTCACTGGAACAGCTACCCGCATCAGTGGCATGACTTTCGAGCTTATCGCCCAAGATGCTTTCGCTTTCCACGAGAAGGGCTTCCCAACTCGTGACATTCACAATATTCCTGGTCTGGCGGAATCCGGCGAATACCATTGGCGAGATGGGGGTGAACCCCACGTCAATGACCCGGTGGCTATTGCCAACATCCAGGATGCGGTCCGAACAAAGAACGACAAGTCTTATGAGGCATATTCTATGTCAGAATATGAGGCGATCAAGAACTGCACTCTCCGTGGCATGCTGGACTTTGACTTTGACCAGAGAGTTTCTATACCCATCGATCAAGTTGAACCATGGACGGAGATAGTGCGTCGCTTTGTCACTGGTGCCATGTCCTACGGCTCAATCTCCATGGAGTCCCACTCAACTTTGGCCGTCGCCATGAACAGACTCGGCGGCAAGTCAAACACTGGTGAAGGCGGTGAAGACCCCGAGCGGAGCCAGATCCTTGAGAACGGAGATACCATGCGCTCTGCTATCAAGCAGGTCGCCTCTGGCCGATTTGGTGTGACATCCAACTATCTGGCCGATTCTGATGAGCTACAAATCAAGATGGCTCAGGGCGCTAAGCCCGGTGAGGGTGGCGAATTGCCAGGCCACAAAGTTTCTGGACCCATCGCTCGCACAAGACATTCAACTGCCGGCGTTGGTCTCATCTCGCCTCCTCCGCATCACGACATCTACTCCATTGAAGATCTCAAGCAGTTGATCTACGATCTCAAATGCGCCAACCCTCGAGCACGTGTATCAGTGAAACTGGTCTCTGAAACCGGTGTTGGTATCGTTGCCTCAGGTGTCGCAAAGGCCAAAGCAGACCACCTGTTGATTTCTGGACATGACGGAGGAACTGGTGCCTCTCGATGGACTGGTATCAAGTACGCCGGTCTGCCATGGGAGCTTGGCCTTGCGGAGACTCACCAGACTCTGGTGCTCAACGATCTCCGAGGGCGTATCATTGTACAGACTGATGGTCAGCTACGTACAGGCCGAGATGTCGCAATTGCATGTTTGTTGGGCGCTGAAGAGTTTGGATTTGCTACCGCTCCTCTCATTGCCATGGGGTGTATTATGATGAGGAAATGCCACCTGGTAATGTCCCTGTAGCGGTTTCTGATTTATGCAAATGCTGACTCAACTTCCATTAGAACACATGCCCTGTCGGCATTGCGTCTCAGGACAAAGCACTTCGTGCCAAATTTCAAGGCACGCCCGAGCATGTCATCAACTTCTTCTACTACGTCTCTAACGAGCTCCGAGCCATCATGGCTAAGCTTGGCTTCCGCAACGTCAATGAAATGGTTGGCCACGTTGAGACCCTGAAGATGCGCGAAGACCTCCGTACACCCAAGACCGAAAACCTGGACTTTGGCCTCATCCTTACCCCAGCCCATCAACTGCGACCCGGTGTTGCGACTTATAACGTGCGAAAGCAAGACCATAAGCTACACGTCAGACTCGATAACAAGCTCATCTTTGAATCCGAGCTGGCTCTCGAGAAAGGCCGACCCTGCCGTATTGAGTGTGACATTGTCAACACTGATCGGGCATTGGGCGCGACACTGTCTTACCAGATCAGCAGACGATATGGTGAAGCGGGTCTTCCTCAAGACACCATCCATGCGAACATCAAGGGCTCAGCTGGTCAATCTTTCGGTGCCTTCCTAGCCCCTGGTGTCACTCTAGAATTGGAAGGTGACTCCAACGACTATGTTGGCAAAGGTCTTTCTGGCGGTCGTCTGATCATCTACCCACCTCGATCTGCAGTCTTCAAGGCTGAAGAGAACGTCTTGATTGGAAACGTTTGCTTGTACGGTGCGACAGGCGGGACTTGCTACTTCCGTGGTATGGCAGCCGAGCGCTTCGCAGTCCGGAATTCGGGCGCCACTGCCGTCGTGGAGGGCGTTGGTGATCATGGATGTGAGTATATGACTGGTGGACGTGTTCTGATCTTGGGCGGCACCGGTCGCAACTTCGCTGCCGGTATGTCTGGCGGTATTGCATATGTTCTTGACATGAACCAGGACTTCGAATCCAAGGTCAACACTGAGATGGTCGAGATCTCCAGTATTGAAGATCCATCTGAAATTGCTTTTGTCCGTGGCTTGATCGAAGATCATCATCACTATACTGGCTCTGAGCTTGCTGCTCGTGTCCTGTTGGACTTCAACCGCGCTTTGTCAAGGTTCATCAAGGTCTTGCCCACGGACTACAAGCGTGTCATGGCTGAAGAGGCTGCCAAGGCAGAGGCTGCAAAGAAGGCGGAATACCCATTGCCTATATTGCCAGGCAACGCGGTACGGTCCAACCACGAGGAATCGAGGAAAAAGATGCACGAGAAAGAAGCTCACGAGAAAAAGAAGGATATGCTCGATATTGAGGAGAGTGTGGGTGACAACAAGGCAGAGAAGAAGAGATCTGCGCTGGTTTTGGATAAGACTAAGGGTTTCATGAAGTACCAGAGGCGAAGCGAGAAGTACAGGAAGCCAGAGACTAGGACCCGTGACTGGAAAGAGCTTTCTTCTCGCCTGGATGAAGACGGCTTGAAGTACCAGGCAGCTCGATGCATGGACTGTGGCGTTCCTTTTTGTCAGTCTGATACTGGTTGCCCAATCTCCAATATCATCCCTAAGTGGAACGAGCTCGTTTTCCAGAACCAATGGCAAGATGCTCTCAACCGCCTCCTGATGACCAACAACTTCCCTGAGTTCACAGGCCGTGTCTGCCCCGCTCCTTGCGAAGGTGCTTGCGTTCTTGGTATCAATGAGGATCCTGTTGGTATCAAGTCCATCGAATGCGCCATCATCGACCGAGGATTCGATATGGGTTGGATGATACCAAACCCTCCTCAAAATCGCACTGGCAAGACCGTTGCCGTCATTGGCTCTGGCCCATCTGGCCTCGCAGCCGCAGACCAGCTCAACAGAGCGGGCCACACCGTCACAGTCTACGAGCGCTCTGACCGCGTTGGTGGGCTACTCATGTACGGTATCCCCAACATGAAGCTGGACAAGACCATCGTTCAGCGCCGTGTCGACTTCATGGCCGAAGAGGGCATCAACTTCGTCACCAGCTGCTCCGTCGGGCCTGACAGCGAAGTCAGCCTGCAATCTCTACGCGAGGAGAACAATGCTGTCGTCATTGCTACCGGCGCCACTGTCGCTCGTGATCTCAAGATTCCCAACAGAGAGCTTGAGGGTATCCATTTCGCAATGCAGTTCCTCCATCGTAACACCAAATCCCTTCTCGACTCCGGGCTCTCGGATGGCGAATACATCTCCGCCAAAGACAAAGATGTTATAGTCATTGGCGGTGGTGACACCGGTAATGACTGCATTGGCACTTCGGTCCGCCATGGCGCTAAATCGGTCACAAACTTCGAGCTTCTACCTCAGCCACCAGCTGAGCGTGCTCGCGACAACCCGTGGCCCCAGTGGCCGAGGATCTATCGTGTCGACTACGGTCACACGGAGGTCAAGACGCATATGGGTAAGGATCCGCGCGAGTATTGTGTCATGTCCAAGGAATTCGTTGGTGACGATGAGGGACATGTTTCTGGTATCAACATCCATCGTGTTGAGTGGACGAAGAGTGTCTCTGGCGGCTGGGACATGAAGACTGTTGAGGGTAGCGAGCAATTCTTCCCAGCGCAACTGGTTTTGCTCTCCATGGGGTTCCTTGGTCCCGAGGACCGCCTTCTAGGCACGGAGATCGAGAAGGATGCTCGCAAGAATGTCAAAACACCTCCTGGGCAGTACAACACAAACCTAGGTGGCGTCTTTGCCGCTGGTGACTGCCGCCGTGGGCAATCGCTCATTGTCTGGTAAGCCAACCTCGTTCGACTACAGGTCGTCAGACAGTTGCTAACATTCGGCAGGGGCATCAACGAAGGTCGCCAAGCTGCCCGTGACGTCGATACCTACCTCATGGGCGTTGGCACTCAGCTTCCCAAGACCGGCGGTATCGTCCAGCGTGCTCCGTATGAGATCATTGGCAAGCCAGAGCAGATGAAGGCACAGGCCGTGGGTGCCTAAGCACACCACACCACGGAGGAACAAAGATTACTGCATATCAGGGAGACCAAGGTGGATTCGGGAGACGCACCTGCATTTTGTACGATTGGAATGAAAAGTGACAAAGATATGCCTTCTTCCCTGTTCCGCATGCATCACGGTTGCACGGCGATTTTTGTCTGTACTTTCACGCCTTCGTTTCGACGTTTGTTTCGATTCCTTAGAAGATCGTTCGTTGCACGGCCTCTTATGAATCCTCTTTGGCGAATCCATGTATGTCGCAACAATGTATCACGATAGTCCACCCATCCACCCATCCACCCTCCCCCCCATGTTCCCTCGCTTGCCCTCCCACCCCTCTCTTCCCCCCCCCACGAATCGTTCACACCCGCAAAGGGAAATGCCCCCCCCCCTGACTAACCCATTCACCCGGATCCAGGTGACGCCCAGCGCATCGCTACACCAGCCAGGCGTTCCCAGGCAGCTCCGTCCTCCCCTTCGAACGCCTCCTCCATACTCACATCCTCCGCCCGGTTCACCGTCATCCCATTCCCACCCTCTTCGCTCAAACCTCCTTCCCATCCCTCTTCGCTCAAACCCCAGCCCTCTTCGCTCAAACCCCCTCCATTCGCTCCCTCTCCCTCTCCCTCTCTCTCTCTCCCTCTCTCTCTCTCCGACCCACGTCCGCCCCCACCCGGCACCGTCGTGCTCTGAGTCGTCGTGCCCAGCTGGCCCTGTGCCGTTTCTCGACACTCCACTCCGTCCGCGATGGCCCGTCTGCGCGGGGTGGGGTGGGGTGCGATGGGGTGGGGTGCGATGGGGGTGGGGGGTGGGGTGGGGCGATGGGGTGGGGGTGGGGGGTTTCTTGGCGAGAAGTTGTGCGTCTTACGAGTGGGTGACGGAGTGGGTGATGGGTGGGGTGGGGGTAGGGGTGAGGGGGTGAGGGTGATGGGTTAGGGAGGTGGTGGGGTGGGGTAGGGGTAGGTAGGGGTAGGGGTAGGGGGTAGGGGTAGGGGTAGGGGTAGGGGTAGGGGTAGGGGTAGGGGTAGGTAGGGGTAGGGGGTAGGTTGGTGTAGGGGTAGGGGTAGGTTCTTCCGAACTTAACGTCGTCTGTTTTTGGGATCGGATGGGGTGGAGGCCGCAAAGAGCATTCATCGTCTGGCCAACCCGTTGCTTGGCTTTTAACGATGGTTGGTCTGTTCGGTATGCCGTTGGGTTCGGTTGGAGAGAGAGAAGGGTCGAAAGAGGGATCCTGGATCGGCGAGGCTTCGGCGCCGCGACGCCGTCCCCAACGCCAGTCGGCCGGCCCTGGTCGTCATCGCGGCCCTTCCGTCGTGTGCTTCGGGGCGGGGTTCCGATCCGCACCGGCTGGCGAGCGTCAGGCCGAGAAGCCGGCATACGGGAACCTCGCTGTCTACTCTACTCGACTGGTGGTGGGGCCCGCGTGCCCGGGTTCTGGAGTCTGGTTCGGATACGGAAAAGGTCGATGCTCCATGCTGCTTTTTGACACCGGGATGGATGGCGCTGGGAGGGGTTTTCTCGGGAGCGGTTGGACGGTGTTTTTGGGGATGGCGGGAGGCGGGAGGCGGCGGGGTGGAGGGGTTGGGCTGGTTTGGGGACGCGTGAGTGTGACCCTTGTTATCTGGGGGTTGGGCGATTAGTGGCTGTGTGCGTGCGGCTGCTGTGTTGAGGATGTGATGTGGTGTTTGCTTCAACTCAACACCTCTTTTGTTTGGCAAGGGGCAGGCCGTGACGGACGGATAATCTTGTCCGAGCTCATGAGGTGAGACTGTTTGTTTGTTGTTGGAGCCGTGTCTGGCAATGTTGAAGCTCTGAGGATAAAATTTGGCTACTTGTATGGCTGTAGGGGGAATTGCGGTGGGGAACGGGGATTCGGGTTATGGTTGGAGGGCACAAGGGAGTCAGTCCTGGTGTGCTCTTGTTGGCGGCTCTGGATGATGTGTTTGAATGCAGGTTGTTGGACACGTGCAATGTAGCATTTGCACGCGGTCAGCGTACAGAAAATGAGACGCGACGTTGTCCCAGGGGGCACACTCAGATCTCGCGGAACAGGTAATCCGGCCCACGGGCGTTGTCACCCAATAAAATACTCTACGTCTGACATTCCTCTTGCTCACTAAATTCTCGGCGAGAGCAGACGCTTCGCAAACATCTGGTTGATATGGACGGCGAAGCGAATCTAGAGGAACTGCGTGGCGTCATGTCTGCTGGATCTGGAGATGATGAGAAGAGCGTAGGGTCCCTAAGAAGGTGAGGGGAAATTTCATAATGCTTGGATGCGACTGCTGCAAAGGAAGTTCAAAGAGTATCAACAACGTGGGTGCCATCCCGTCCATTCCGTCGAAAGGGATACCGTCCCCGCATCCTAGACTGGACAGTCCGATTTCCCACTTCTATCGATTCGTCGTTCTGCTTCGATCGTGGTCGGACGAGTAAACACCCAACAGACGAAGGTATTTCCGGGAATCAATAGTTCATGGTCGATGCTGTCCATCAGATACAATAAGTACCGCGCTGCCCATGCGTCGAACCGAACGTGTTGTCAAGTACACATGAAAGCACCGACAAGGAATGATGATCGGGCCGGGCTGATATGGCATGCCATTTCCACACCGCAGAGTCATAAGCCTCGAGAGTTTTTATGATTGGAATATATAGCAAACGAATTGAAGCTTGTGGATAGGAACACGGATGCAGACGATGGGCTGTTCATGGTTCGCTACTTGTGGCAGTGAGATTGATACGCTTAGACGCTGTTTCATGGTAGATAGAATTTGCGATTTATGACCCAATGAGACCTGCAATGGTCCCGCTATACTTCACCAGGACGAAGACCTCAGACACGGCTATGACTAGGACAACGAGAGCGGAACAGAGTTAGACCTTGTGCAGAACTTCGTGGCTTGTTCTTATCTACTTGAAGATCCATGTTCTCCCTAGTCTTGAGGGAAGGCTGCAAAGATACATTTTTTAAATTTTTTTAGCAGACTCGGCGATCTCGAGTGCCTGACGGACTGGCACGCTGGATCATGTGGTCAATGCCGGAGCTGTTGGCGCCGTTTAGAGCTCACCGTTGAAAAGTTCCCGGTAGACTGTCTATGGAGCAATATCCGCAGACTCTTCCTCGCCAGGACGTTTTCTCTTTTTATTTTTCCCCTCGCAGTGAGAAATCGAATCAGTCCGCTCTCTCATTCTTACCGGGGAATCATTCCGACGGGAAGACATTCAAGGCTCCTAGTGGTCCACAGGCGCGCACTGGTCCAATTCGAAGCTATTCCGAACGACTGATTCGCGTTCCTTTTCGACCAGCCCCATTGGACGCCCGTCATGGTCAGATGTTTGGCCGCCTCCGTCCCTCGAACCGCTCTACAACCGTTTACAAATTCCTCGGACTGGTCGGATTAATGGTCCGTCGAACATGTCTGGATCCACGGTCCAGAAAATGGAGGCGAACAACCGTTATGGAGCCTTGGAAGACACCACCTTCGCCACCCTTGACCTACCGCAATATCTCTTTCTCCGCCTCTTGGCCGGACTCTCTCACGCTTCCGTGCCGCAGACCTGTCTCACCTCGGTAAGATTTGCACGTCTAGCCTGTCCCTTCTTCCATCCATCCATCCATCCCCCTGCCCATCCACCGTCCATTTCATTTCGTGCTTCGGCAACCGACCGATCTCAGCCCCTCGCGTCGGTATCGCGACCGCCGCCTTTGCGCTTCTGGTAGCTAGAGACCGTGAATGACATTTGGCACACACACCCACAGCACAGGTTAAGGGATGTGTTGGCCCATCCGGCAAGCCTATTCTTCACTCAGGCCATTGTATAGGAGCGCTATGCTGACTTCCTTATTGGACCTCCTCTTGAACTTTGTCACGAGGTTAGTGTCGGTGCCCTTTTTTCTGCCGTGGTGGCGTTCTCGTAGAGTAGGATATCTTAACGACATTTTGGGTAGCGGGCAAGGTGTCGAGATCTTCCATTGGGCTGCAGTCGTCAAGGCTTTTGGTTTGCAGTCTCGAGATTCGGAACGTTGGAACCCCTGGTTGGCGGGGGGACCGCAGCGGGAAGCCAGCACTGGGAGGCAGGCAGGCGATGGTGAGATGATGAGATGAATCTGGAAGTTGCAGAACCCTTTGCTCTCCATGCTTCTCGACTTTGAACAGCATCTACGCAAATGCTGCTGTGTGTGATACTCAACCAATCATGATCAGCACAGGTGAGACAGTATGCCCTCATCGACCGAGCTTAAGTTCTCGTACCTACTCGGTAAGGTAACTCTCCACATCGAAGTTTACACCCCTCGCCACTCCCCTCACGAATTCCCACCCCACGTTAACCCTCCATTTTCCCCCTCCCTCCAGAACATCCCCTCCCATACCCGCTTTCACAATCAATCGCAGCCCCACAAGTGTAGCGACTTGGCACATCATGTCCGCCCCTCCACCCGTATACGTATGGGGCAGTATAGCGTGGAATATAGCGCACAACCTTTCCAGAGGAAATGGCTGTGGTCCTAATAGTCTTCGAGAAACTTTCCGGTGTTTCGAAGCTCGGTTAGATGTGAGTGCTGTGCCGCCGCCGCGCTTGCGCCGTTTGGAGAGGGATGTTTTGGAGAAGAGGGTAATGTCGTGTTTTGGGGGGTTGTGTGAGGCGAGGTAGGCGGAGATCAGGAGGTGGGTTGGGTAGTAGGGGAGGGTGTATGAGAACTCTGTTGTGAAGTCAGTAGTGCAATCGTGGGGTACAAGGCGTCGACAAACGTTTCTTTGGCTTGCTGATGGTTGAGGAAGGATTAGTGGGCACTATGGTATCGATGAGAGCATCTTCGCTCTGGAACAAACTCCTATTCTTCACTAGTAGTTTCGAGAATTCTCGCGCTCCGTAGTGGCCGTCTACAATTGGCTGTATGAACGGCGGCCAAAGTCGCGCGCATACGTCGCGGAAGTCTGGAATAGATCTTGCAGCGGTTTGTCCGAGGGAGTCCCAAACCGCGGCTATGAAACGCGTCCAGAGCCATTCCGTGTCGTCGTCGTTTGCGGCTGTTGTAGTATTAAGCGACTGAGACGAGGCTGAGCTGGCATAGAGCAAGAGCGGGGTGCGGGAGAGTATGGACAGCGTTTCAGCGCGTGTGTACGGTGGGAAGTGGATGTGTGGAATGCAGGCGTGGTGGAGGAGGTGCGGGTGTGAGGTTGTGGTGATCAGGATGGTGGTCAGGTTGGGTAACTAGGGGTTGTGAGCAGGGAAGAGGTGAGTGTGTGCGTCAGTGTGGTCATACTATTTCTCCGAGCCGTGCAATAGCTGGGAGCAAGGTTGGCGCTGCCTCGCGCTGACGGTCGATGCCGTTGAAGACGAGTATGAATTTCTCTTTTCCTTCTAGTAGATGCTGGAGCTCTACCCTGAAAGCGCTGATGTTCTCACATCTTCCACCAAGGCCATTGGCTTCCTCGAGGTGTCCATGCGCGGCCAATGCCTCTTTTACCACGGCAATTGTCCGTTCGAGTAGATGTCGGGTTGTGATGCATTCTTGCGATCGGACGATGGCGGAGGGGGTATCAATGGCCTCCAAAACGGCCTTGATGGTTAGGCTCTTCCCTGTCGCTTCGACGCCGTGGAGGAGGATAGTGGAGGGACTGGGCAAGTTGGGCTGAGGGAGGTTAGCGGGGCGTTAAAGAGACGGATGGGGAGACGAACGGATAGGAGGGCAAGGATTTGGCGGATTTGGAGCGCTCTGCATGGAGCTTGGTCCAGCAGGGTCAATGATAGGTCCTCTGGGAGCATTGAAGCCATGATAGTCGTGCCTTGCATGAATCAGCTTCGTAAAAGTAGGGGTACTTTAATGTCCGCCCTCTCAGCAGCGGGAGGGTCACTAGCGTGATCAAGGGCGGACCCTGGAAGTCTGTGATTCTTGAAATCCTCCACGATCGGGCCTAGTGTCTCTCGACAATGCGAGGTGATCACGATGTCCAAAACTACTTTAACGGGTCTCAAAATTCTCCTTGCTCAAATGGGACAAAATAGTAATCACGACGCTCAAAATTGACAGGGTTCAAAATCTCTCGATTGGGATTACGACCTTAACATGCTTAGCGGCAAACATATATCTATTCACCAGCCAGGTCCTCCAGTAGGACCACCCACCCCGTCAGACCCGGTCCTTAATCCCTACACCGTTCAGTTGTAATTCGCCCGTCAGGAACTCGAACGAGAACAGGCCGACGAAAACAACATGCTTCAGGACCGTGACGAACTCGCCCGCATACAGAGCGAGGTCAATAAGATCCGTATCCGTCGCCAGTCGGCTGCCCCTACCATACACCAGCCCGTACCCCAAGCCCCCATATTACCGGCCCATCAGCCGTTCCTATTCGCTCCACCTCCCCAGCCGTCACCTATACCTCTCCAGGCCCCACAACCAACTTTGGCCCTGCCGCAGCAGAGAACGCCAACACCGTCTGAGACGGAAGCAGTGCCGCGTCGCTCCTTCTTATACCAAGGTAATAACCCCATGATAGCTCCCCTTCTTCTTCGTTTCAAAGCGGTGGACCTGAAATACATCAAACAAATCTACCATGGGCCGGTGATACGTATGACGGTGTTGGCGTTCTCTGCTGCGGCAGGGCCAAAGTTGGTTGTGGGGCCTGGAGAGGTATAGGTGGGCTGGGGAGGTGGAGCGAATAGGAACGGCTGATGGGCCGATGGCATAGGGCTTGGGGTACGGGCTGGTATATAGGGGAGGCAGCCGACTGGCGACGGGTACGGATCTCATTATTGACCTCGCTCTGTATGCGGGCGAGTTCGTCACGGTCCTGAAGCATGTTGTTTTCGTCGGCCTGTTCCCGTTCGAGTTCCTGACGGGCGAATTACAACTGAACGGTGTAGGGATTAAGGACCGGGTCTGACGGGGTGGGTGGTCCTACTGGAGGATCTGGCTGGTGAATAGGAGGCATAGCGAGAATAGGGGGGGTAAGGGTCCATCAGAGGGCCCTCCCATGGGTTCAGTGGGCGGTTCTTGTGGAGGTGGTGGTCTGGTGGCGGCAGCCTGACGTGCAGCTATGGCCTTTGCGGTAGGCTTGCGAGGACGCTTGGGGGCCATTGGTAGTGGCTGAATAGCAATGGTGTAAGTAGAAGAATAATGTGTTTTCCAAATGAAAAATTGCTTTCGTCTGATGTCAGGAAAGAGAAAAGTCCAAAAAACCCTCTTCTTGCGACGAGAGGAACAAGAATGAGGAGCAAAGGCTCTTCCAACATGGCAATCTCGGCTATCCTGCCATAAGTGTGTGCTGTGCCTCTCCCTCACTAGCCCCCAGTCAAGCTGTGGCGAGAATTCAATTAAGCACGGGTTACATCGGATAGGGGTGAAAAAAAGTGGCAGGGTGCAAGCTCCGGCAAATGCTCGTTTCGACCACGGCTGAACTCTGGCAATACGCTGTCACTAATTGGGCATCCATTTGAGGCCGGACAATATTACTAACGGCTACGTCGTTCCCCCCCCCCCCCCCACCCCCCAAAATATTTTTTTTATTTGGGGATATGGGTATATACTAAGCATATCCTCAATCTCCGCTATGCTCTTTCAGTAGACCGTCAACATTATTCAATCATTGGGTAATCTCCGGCGCAGCGTTATGAACTTGTTAGGCTGTTGGCCTCAGCTGGAGGTGTCTGCGCTTGACTGCCAGAACCCCTATTTGAAACGAACGGTATCAGGCCTGCCTCATATCAGGCGACGCCTCACGGCCTACTTGCCGTGAGGCCTCTGCGAGGAACGCTTGGGGGCCTATCTGGTAGTGGCTGAATAGCAATGGTGTAAGTAGAAGAATAATGTGTTTTCGAAATGAAAATGCTTTCGTCTGATGTCAGGAAAGAGAAAAAAGTCAAAAACCCTCTTCTTTGCGACGAGAGGAACAAGAATGAGGAGCAAAGGCTCTTCCAACATGGCAATCTCGGCTATCCTGCCATAAGTGTGTGCTGTGCCTCTCCCTCACTAGCCCCCAGTCAAGCTGTGGCGAGAATTCAATTAAGCACTGTCATCATTTCGACCGCCACCTTCTATCAGACAAGTCAAAGAGGTACCATAATACGGTCTCGGAGCTTCCTACGCTACGGAAACCTCCGTCGCTGTCCCCAAAGATAGGCTAGAATAGCTGGGTCAAGGCCACGAAGTCGGCCCTAAAGCAGTATCGGAACTCATGGAGTCTGCCCTCACTAAAAACTCGAGAAAATGCCACACTTTCCAGTTAAGAGTATGTTCACCGCATTGCACAAGAATCTCCTTCGCTACGCTAATTCCATGGACAACACAAATGCTAGAAAACCATTCTCGCCTTCACAGCACTTCTACATTTTGCCACTGTGGTGCTGTCGAAGGACACTTTTTAATAGAAGCTTTGCCTATTGTTGAGTGTGACACGACCCAACTCTTTGTTTTTCTCATCTTCAAAGACGTGACTCACACAGACTGCTGCATCTACGAAGATATCGAAAAGGCTCGCAGTTTTCTCATCAGCGAGGCCGATCCAAAAATTACCCTGAGGGGCTGCCCGAGGAAGCTATCGCCCATGAATGGATTTTGATATCTCGCTCCTGTTGACGAGAGTCTAGTTTAGTGGTCGAGATGTAGTTCAAATATTTTACCCTGGCACAGAGGCTGATGATGTTGCTACCCAACAGACCATTGTAGATCCATAATGCCGTGCTCAACCAATGCCTCGGAGCCATCTATCACATAGATAATACTACCTAGGGATCCGTGGCTCTTACATGCTTCATACTATTCTTACAACATTTTCCAGAACAGCGAGGATCAGCCAAATATATGCTAACCAAACTGCCCCTCAGATGACAGGGATAGCTTTTCAGTAAGCACCCTTCAACTGTCCACTTAGCCAAGCGGAGGAAACGACTCATCCGCCAAAGTGCTAGTGCGGACTATCAACTTCCGGAGAGGATTGACGCGGAACATTAAGAGATCTCGCCTTTACGAGGCTCTCTCATGGAGGTAAGGCGAGCAGTATATGTGACTCAAAGCACCTTAAGGCACTGAAAGACAGCGCTCGTAGTTCATACTACCAGACACAAATTACGATCCTAAAATTGTCAATCTTCAACAAACTCAAATAGTTGAGGAAGCACGCTAAGAAGTCAAATTTGATATGAAATGCAACAGCAAAAACATTGATGAGAATGTCCTCCAGGGCTCAGGTGGTGATCGCTCATTGGAGGTTTTCGTTCCAGATACTTAACAGAGAGGGGATGACCCTGAGTACCACGCAGACAATGCCGAGACACGAGATATTCACACAACATTAACTCGGTTTTGGGACGAAATGAGTCGACCTGCTCAGTGGCCCAGTGACATCTCGTACGGGGAGTTGCAAGTGTGCAGGGAAAGTCAAGACTGGTTAAAGAAACACGCGCTAGGCGAACTCATGCTCTGCTGTTTTGGCCTGGATTCAAGTCTCGAGGGCCAGAGAATGCTCTTGAAATACTTGAGCACCGTTGTCGACACGGAGGGTACTTTCATCATTAACCAAAACCAACAGGCGAAATCAGACACTTATCGCTAGAGCATGTCAGTCCGGCCAAGCTCTTGCGATAAACTAGAGGTTAAACGCTTTCTTTCGAGAGGGATCTCTGGATTACCTCTACTGCAGCGGTTTTGGAAGGAAAGATGTTTGAACCCGCCCCAAGCAGCTGGATCCACACCACTCCACCTAGGAGCCACCAATGATGCGGCTGCAGCTGTCAGCCTCCTCATTGACCGGGGCGCCGACCTGAACGTCAAAGGCGACAGCAAAGGCTAGCTGGCGGCTGGGGCGAGGGATGTGCATAATTGGTCTTCGTTTCTTGAACCCGGAGATCGGGGGGTCGTGCTTGGTGGTAAGAAGTGATCGTGAGGTTGGTCTAGATGAGAGCAGTGAGGTCGTGGATTGTTATAGGGCGTGGACGCTAATGCTTAGTGGAGATGGTCTTGTAGACTTGTAGAGAGTAGTTAGGCACAACAGACTGTCCTCTGTCCTTTAGTCACGAAACGTGATTGTTGTGGACCGCTTACCATTAAACACATGCTCAAAGTACGGACTATCATACGAACTCAAGGTTCTCGATGGTTTGCCCCCATTTCTAGACTATTAATCCGGACCAGAGCAATGGACCGAATGTCCGAACCATTCGTCCGGCCTATTTTTCTCTTTACTGATAGCAGGAACAGCAACAGTAATAGTAATGAGCTTACGGTCAGGGTAAGCAAAAGATTCCTTTCAAACCACCTTGGTCACCATTCTGACTCAGACTGACTTGACGTCATGTCTAGAGGCAAACCAGACAGCGAAGACATTTTACATATGATAAAAGAAATAATAGAAAAAAAAGGGAAGAAAAAAGGGCAAGCCACGGGAAGCACGGCAGCAAAGGGGGGCGAAAGCATAGCAACCAGCACGCGGCAGCAGACAAAAAAGGCAGCCGCAGCCACGGGATTATTAAGAAGATGAAAACGGTGATATAGGAGGGGGTACATTTATAGAAAAAAAATAAGAAAATAAAGGGAATGGAAAGGAAATTAATGAAAAAAAAAAAACAAAAGAAGGAAGACCATGGCTGCAGCCCATTAGCTGAAAACCGAGACCCCGGCGCGTACCAAAAGGTGGAATGGTTGAGACCCCGGGCGACAAAGGGGATGTGAGCCGCGATAGCAAAAGGGTATAGTGAGACCTCATAATGCGATAGCCTAAATAGGTGGTATAGTTAAGACCTCCATGGCTGCGATAGTCTAAAAGGTGGTATAGTGAGACCTCTCAGGCGCGGAGCCCAAATGCTGAAATAGCTGAATATCTAGGCGTGAGAATCAAATATAGACTTTTTCGCAAACGGTCCGTTAAATTTTAAAACTCGTATTCGTAGGAGGAAGGATGTTTAAAGGATAAGAGGTTAGTATATATAGTTCGAATCGTTAGAAAAATCGCGTCCAAGCGCCCCAGTCTTCTTATGCGCTTAAGTCTATTTTAAACACGTTAAGCGCGTAAACCATTAAGATATGTTTTATGCCTCTTAACTCAATATACTCTAAGTGATAGATGTGTATAAGGATAGCTAGCTGATTTTCATTAGATAGTGATACGGTCAACTGATCCAATCATTACACTACCCGTTATATGACCTTTTAATAGGAAACGTGCGCTATCGTTGGAATTTAATTATCGGAGGGTGATGGCTGGAGGTGGGTCTATAACGCGGCGAGAACGCGTATTCGGATGAGCTTATGCGATAATAACGAGTTATCTGATCATAATAAAAGTAGATATACTTGTTCAGCGATCTCGAAAGCCGGCCTAATTATATTAAAAGATTATGTGGTATGGCTAATGGAGGTGCGACTTCTCATAACGGGGTAATTATGCGGTGGGTCCATATAAATTAACGGTCAATAGCATTCCTTTCTAACTCAAAGGTTGCCGTACAGCTTCATGACCCTCAAGCACGATTGTACGCTCATAGTCCTAGCGAGGATTAACTACCAGACACAGCCTTCTGGAAAATCGTGCACCATTCTCCAAGACAGACCCTTCCAGATGCATCGAGGGTCCTTCTTTTCACCAGTCTTCTTCAGCATAGTCCGAAAACATTCTCGAAGGGTGAGATACGAGTGGTGTAACACACTTGGCACATATTGGAGTACTGAACCGAAATGGCCAGGCCAGCAAATTACTGTACCTGGTTGTGGCTTGATATCTATCCGTAGCTGAGCTCGTGCTTCCATGTGGGTTGCTAGGCAGCAGACCCGTGTTTTCGGCTACGGTGCCCAACCTGGCTTTCCGTGGCGGCGGTTCGGGGTTACAAGCCGTCAACCCGGTTGGCCGTCATCACAGGGGGGGGGTTAGCCTAGCATATATATTTTCAAGCTATCGCAATGTATTACAGAGGGAGCTCGTTCTACGCTGAGTCCGATGCCTAACATTCTATTTGATGGGGTTCAATCAGGGGTCAACGGATTGATGGGTGTACCCCGAAAGTCCGACTTGGGGTGGGATCTCAAACGAGGGTCTTTGATCCGCCCCGAGGTTCCGAACCCAACCGCCCTCCTTCGAGATCCCACCCCGGCCCTGACCCCGAGTCCGACCCCGCCCAGGGCATGGAAAGCGGACATGGCGCAAATGCCGAGTGGGATTATAAGGGTCAGCACCTCGTGAAGAAGTAATTCACACCCCTCCCTGGTCCATGCCCTCTAGGTGTGGTATCCGGACGGTCCCGCTCTAGGATATAGGGTAAGAGGTCCGCCCTTTCCGCATAGGAAACACACACACACACACACACACCCCCAACCCACCCATCCACCCAGCCCACCCACATCACTCAACGGACATTTCCCCCCTACTTTCCGAAAGACTTGGTGGCTTTCGCCTGCGTCGTCGGATCTGTGACCAATCAGAGACCTGATTCTGAGGCCCATCAAGCTGTGGCAGAATTCTCAGAACTGTCATGCTGACGGTAAACACTGTCATCGAGGCCTACGATCGGTAATCCCACATCGCTAAGGGAATCCGCCGCCGAAATCCTTCCTTGAAATATCAACACAACTCAACAACAAGCGAAGTAACAACAAGGGAAGTTACAAAGGAACATTCAGTGGCGCAATTGTTCATCGTGCATGGCACGATTATCCGTAAGCAGGCTGAGAAATTTTTCGACCTGGTATTCTAACTGTAGAGTTTCATCGTAAGTTATGGCTTTGCGAAGACTTGGGGGTTTGGATGTTCTTACCAAGCAAGCAACACGAGAACCCAGTGCACTAGGACATGCGATGATCTAATCTCGTCAGATTCCTCCTCGATTGTACAGCTTACATGCAGTCATTCTCATAAAGTCGCTCGGGGAAGCCGATGCCTTGAGCTTGACTTCCCGTTCTATCCGTGTTCATATTGCGTTGATGTCTTCGTGAGTTTTCTTATCTTGTGCCCACACGGTCGATCTTGCTATTGTAATTACGCGGACTGACGCCCTCTCGATGTTTTTTTTATTCATGTCTGTATAATATATAGTGCATGAAGTGCATTTTTATCTTATAATGGGTGCTAAGGTTTCTTATATTCATAATGTCAGTCTGTAGTCCAGGCCGTTTCTTCTGGAGAGTGCTCTGAAAGTCTATCTCTCGCCATCGGGTAAGGTACTATAACTAACTTCTTGCCAGGACACGAGATACCTTGAACGTTGACATTTGTGCAATTGACAAACGGCAAATTACCACTTCCGCCTTATCTCGTCTGAATCTCTGACCCAAAACGAGATGGGATGGTAGCTCCCAGAATGCGTCTTAATCCGCCGGTACAGATATATATATGATTTATGAATGAGAGTTTGGCCTTTCAGCCTCTCTGCTATCTGCTAGCTAACATGGCTTATACAATACTAATCTACACAGGGACCTAGCTAGAAATTAGATCTAAACACAAGATATCAATTCTTACCAATTTACACCCCAGTGGATGGCAAAATATCACTTCATACCCCAAGTTAGGGCGGAGGGGTAAGAATTCATGATACGAAAATTGACTGGTAAAGATTCATGTCTTCGAGTCTAAATTAGTAGTTTGCCTAACCGACGATATTACAAATTTCAACCCATATCCCATAACTTCAATTTTAGTTCTTTGTGGTTGATAAGACATATACGTACCTATGTATCGGCCAGCTTACTAATCTATGACTGTCAGGGGAGCTCTATGACAGGTATTTACGCAGTAATTAGTGCTAGCGGTAATTACTGTCACACGCGACCTGTATCCTTACCTCGCGCAGCGGCAGTGTCATTTCTATTAGCGCGCTGACTCATTATAGCTATCGAACGACGTTGCAACTCCCACGAACCTCCCACATGCAGCAACAACGGGTAGTGATCTGCCCACCCATCGCCTGTGAAGAGATCGCTGCCTCACCATTGCCCTACCCGTATCGATCCCCTGCCAGCCGTAACCTAAGTAACGCACTCAAGTGGCATACCGAGCTCCGAAGTCCGAAAGACAAGCCAACAAGGCTGAACACCAAACTTTGGGCTCTAACGATGGTGCAGTGATCTGTGCAGACCCTGGACCCGTACTGATTGCAACGAGGATGGCGGACTCATTTTATGTAAGACCCGGGCTGACGGTAGCAAATCCCAAAATCCAAAAAAGGCTGCCAGATCTTGCATCCGTGGTCTGAAACCCCCACCGGCGATGTTCGGGTCAGCAGTCAGCACGAGGAGGCTGCATGTTTTTATGGTACGCATGTAGGTACGTATGCAGGTCCGAGTCAGAATCAGCCTTCAGCAGGTGGAGCGTGCATAAATTTCATATTAGTATATGCAGGTCCGGCTCAGTAGTCAGCCTTCAGCACGTGGAGGGCGCGTGTTTTCATCTTATCGTATGTAGGTCCGGGTCAGCAGTCTCAGCACGGAGAGGGCGCATGATATCATCTTACTGTATGCAAGAAAGCGAAATGCCGAGACACCAATCCATCAAGTACTCATTCCTTCAAGGAAGTAAGATCCATTCTTTACTATTTAAACGTTAGTTGCCCTCACTCTGCGGCAGAACTTCACCCCAGATCTTTCGACCAGCATAAGATGCATACCTCTCTGCAAGTCATAGTGACCCTGCTCGACCTCGTTCCTCTTATCGCTGCCATTCCGTCTTTCATTGGGCACACTCGCAGCGACAACTTCACTAGGCTGCCACCGAGTGTATCCACTTATCAGCAAGAGCTCGGGCCCCGCTTGTCCAAGAATGCTACGCTTTACTTTCCGAATAGTGCCGGCTACATAAACGACACGGAAAGGTGGGCTGCGAATACGAAATCAAACTTCTCCGTCGTTGTTGTACCGGGGACAGCTCAAGATGTAGCGGCAACGGTATGTTCAAGCCCGACTCAGGTTTGTATGAGTTTGAACTAGCTGACAGGAGAGAGTAGGTCAGTTTCGCGGACACCTACAATGTACCTTTCCTTGCGGTCAATAAAGGTCACGGTGGTGCGGCTGGATTGGCGACGGTCTACAACGGCATTCAGATTTACATCCGCGCTCTAGATGACATTGAGGTTTCAGAGGACGGTAATTCTGCCTCAATGGGTGGTGGCGTTTATCAGGATCAGCTCGTCAATTATCTTTTTGATCGAGGCAAAGCTGCATGTTCGTAAACCCCACCGTCCAATCTATTGGTAGCATCTGCTAATCAAATGCCAAGCTTCTGGAGCGTGTGCTTGCACCGGTGTCATGGGTCCTGGTCTCGGTGGCGGATTTGGTCGTTTCTCAGGGTATTATGGTTTAGTCTTGGACAGTATTATAGAGCTGGACGTTGTCTTGGCCAACGGCTCAATAATCACCGTCTCCGAATCCTCTCATTCAGATCTCTTCTGGGGCATGCGAGGCGCTGGGCATAACTTCGGCATCGTCACTCGCTTCAGCTACAAGATTTATGACATCCCGCATCCAGATTGGTTTTTTTCAACCATGACTTTTACGAACGATAAGCTGGAAGCAGTTTTCGAAGCACTGAATACTTTTGGTGCGAATGGCACTCAGCCAAAGGAGGCAGTGACTTATACTCTTTACACCCTGAATCCTGAGATAAGCGCTACTGAGGTGTGTACTCCGAGCCAAAGGCTTCTAAGAAACCATCAACAAGCTGACTTTGGCCCACGCACATAGCCAGTGGTCATCTTTGTCCTCCAGTTCGGTGCTTCAGCGGCCGAGGCAGCACCCATACTAGCCCCATTTTTCGCGCTGAAACCCCTCTCAGCAACAAATGAGACTGTACCTTACACCGGTGCAGCGCACGCCGCGGGCGCTGGCGATACGGATGCGACTTGTCTGCCGGGAGTCAGCGCGCAGTTGTACCCTGTCGGCTTGCAAACTTATAACATCAGCACTAACCGGGCCATATACAATCTGTACAAAACTATGGTCAATGAGAACCCGGGTTTGAACACCTCTATCGTTCAATTTGAGGGATACGCGCAGCAAGGGATCAGAGCTGTTGAGCCGGACAGCACGGCCTATGCCCATCGCGGGGATAGTTTGCTTGTGTACGTTGTCCCCCATTCCCTACCCTCGTGCAAACTTCACTCTAACACATAACCCAAAGTTCCTACGGCCCCATCCTATATTCTTATTATATATTTTCTATTTACTCTTTTATTTTTTCTTTTATAAATAGTTATATAAGATAATTATATAGACGTTTAATATATATATAGCTATATTAATTTAAATCTAGAATTTTCTAAAGCTTAAAGAATAGAAAAACTATTAATCTTAATTAAAGAAGATAAAGAGTATTTTAAAGTATTACGATCTATAGAACGTAGTAAAATAAGAATTAATACTATTTTTAGACGATTTATTAGAGAAAGTTATTATTATAAATATACTAGCTAATAAAATCTATCGTATAAAAACTATTATATCGAAGCTCTATTAATTAATAGATTTTAATTTATAATATCAAAATAAAGATTTAAAAAAATCTTAATAATTAAGTATCGAAATTTATTTACTCGATATATAAGAATAAATTAATCAAAGTAATAGAAGATAAGAAGATAGCTATAATAAGATAAATTAGACTTTAAATCGACTATATCGACTTCAAATTTATTCTTCACTTTATTAAATTATAGAAATTATAAAATATTATTATAATTAATAATAATAACTCGATTAAGATTTATATTATTAATATATATATAAAATTTAAAAATCTTAAGCGTATAAGAGCTTTAATCGATAAATAAATTCTTATTATTCTATTATTAAATAATTTAAATAAAAAGTATAAGAACTTCGTATATCGTCTTATTATATAACTTAATAATATATTAAACTTTAATAAAATTATTATACTTCTTTATAAAGAAGATTATCTTCTTAAGTGAGATAATAAGAAATAAGCTATAGTCGTTATTATAAAGAAATATTATAAGAAATAAAAGAATAAGAAGATCTTTAGAGATAATAATAATTTAGAATATAAGAGTAATACTTTAGAATAAGGTCGAGATAAAAATAATAATAAAAATAATAATTATAACTTTAATTCTCTTATTAAATAACTTAAATAGTATCTACTATAAGAAATTAGATAATATATCTAAGTATTTAAAGTATTTATTACTATTAAATAAGAGTAAGAAGAGATATTAGTTATTTAGCTATTAAACTCTTTATAATAAAAAGATATTTAATTAATTTCGAAATAATAATAATAATAATAATAATAATTCGAACTTTAAGTTTAAAGCGAATATAATTAATATAATTAATAGATCGAACGATTTTATAAATTAAAATTATACTTATATTTTAGTAATAGTCTATATTATAATCGATAATAGAGAATACTATAGAAGATAAAGAGTATTAGAACTACTTAGTTAATAGCTTAATATCTAAATTAGATAAAGAAATAATAAATAAAGAGCTCGAAATTAAGTCTCTTAATTATCTCTTAATTAAAATAACTAAATTATAAGAACTATAAGAGAATATAGAAAATTAATTAATATCTTAGCTTAACGTTAGTCTAAAATTAAATAATAAGATAAGTTAAGAGATTAAAAATATTCTTAACTCTTTATCTAATTCTCTTAGAGAATAAAATAATTAACGAATTATTATACGAATTCTTAACTTACTTTCTCTTCTATATAGTATATATAAATAGTTAATCTACTATTATATATGAAATAAATAATAAACTTAAACTATATTAATTATATATTCTTCGATAAGAATAAGTTTATTAATTATTAGTTATATTATATAGATATTATAATAATTAATAAAACTATTATTTAAATATAGAGTCGCGATATAATCGAAATAAAATAGCTATTATAGAATAAATTTAGTAATATTATAAAAATTAGTAAAGTCTTATATATTTCGAATCTTATATATAAACTATTTTCGATTAATTAGACTATATAAAAAAGAATTAAAAATTATCTTTCTTAATAATAACTATTATATTTTTTAAGATAGTAAGCTTATTAATAGCGCTTCGAAGATAAATAATATCTATATTCTTAATATCTTATAATCTATAATTAAGATTTTAATATTTATTTAAAAGAATATAAGAGTTTTAATAATAAGTTTAATATTTAATAAGAAAGCTATTAAGCTATAATATTATTAAATAAAATATCTAAATAAGATAAATTTTAAGAGATTAATTAATATAAGTAAGAGATATTATATTAACTTAGAAACCTCGAGTTAGATTAATATATAAGATCTATTTTAAAATTAAATCTATATAAAAGATTTTAAAAAGAGTATAATATAAGATACTTCGAAAAACTTAATAAGATTTATATAGAACTTAGAAGAATCTTTTAATATATTATCTATTAATAAAATTAAGTATTATATACTTCTAATTAATTAAGTAATTTTTTAAATCTAATACTTTATATATAAGTATAAAAATAAAATCTTTAAATTATTTCGTAATTAGAAAACTTAGATAAAAAATAAATTCGATTATAAGATTAAGATAGTTTGTTTAAATAATAATATCGAATTTATTAATAGTAAGTTTAAAGAATACTTTAAGAACTTCGAAATTATATAAGAGTTTATTATATTCTATACGTCTAAGTAAAATAAACTTAGTGAGATATAAAATCGAATTATTATAAATAGAATAAGAGCTATACTTTTTAACTCGAAGTTATCTCGCTATTTATAATTAAAACTACTTTATATTAAAATATATTAAAAAAATAGAAGTTTTATTACTCGTCTTTAGAATATAATATTATATAAGATATAAATAGACGAATAATTATATCTCGATTATATAAAGATTATCGATTATGTTATCTAGATATATATATCTAAGAAAAAGTATAAGAAGCTCGATAAACGTAGTAAGAAGTATTATCTAATTAACTACGAAGATATAAATATCTTTTAAATATAGAATTTAGTTACTCGATAAGTAAAATAATTCTCTTATATCGATTTTAACGAATTATAAATAATAATTATTATGATCTTAAATATCGACTATTAACTAGTCGAGATTATTAATAATAATATAATAGATATATTTAATATAGAGAATAACTCTATAGTATATTAATATATATATCTAAGATCGTCGTTAATATCGATATAAGCTCTATTAATATAAATAAAATTAGAAATATTCTTTTTAATAAAAATATCGAAGAAATTAAAGAAGTTAAAGATATAAAAGATAGTAATATAAGTTTAGAAGAATTTAACGACGATAATATTAAAGAGATATCTCGAGATAGCTCTATTACTTATCTAGATTTATATCTTAATATAATATATAATTCTCGACTAAAACGAACTTCTATATCTTTTTAGAAAGTTCTTCTAAATAATAAATAAAGTAATATTAAAATATAGATTTAGAGAGCTATTACTTATATTAAGTATAATAAGACTCTTAAATTAAAACGTCTTTATACTATAGATAAGCTATATTAAATTATAAGAATTTAAATTATTATAACTTTCGATTTTATCTTTAATCTCGCTATTACTATTTAGTAAATAACTAATATAAGATATTAATAGATTACTATAAAGATTAACGATTTTAAATTATTAACCTATAATTAAATAATAACTAGCCTCTATATTAAATAATAAAAAAAGATTATAAATAAGTAAATAAATTTCTTTATTATAATAAATACTTAAAAGCTTATTTCGAGAATAAAGAATATATTAATTCTTATTAATAGATAGATTTATAAGATAAAGAAGAAACTTAATAACTTTATTCTCTATAAAATACGCTAAATAATTTAAGATTTTAAATAAATCTATAATATTAATTACGATTAAATCTTCGTCTTAATTATTAAATCTATATTATTTAAAATACTATTTATAATTATAATATACTACGATCTAAACTATAAGTAAATAAATATTATTATTATATTTCTTAATATATTATTAAAGAAAATTATTTATATAAAATAGTTTAAAGAATATAAGAAGAAAGATAATAAGATATATCTACTATTTAAAGTACTATATAGTTTAAAATAATCGCTATAAGAATAATACTTTACTCTATAAAACTTTCTTATATTTAAAGAATTTAAATCTAATTAAATTTAATTACTTACTCTTTATTAATAAGAAAATATAACTTATTATTAGCGTATATATAAATAATATTTAAATTTATAATTTAAAAGAATTAAAACTAATATTAAAACTTAAATAAGAGATCTTTATAAACGATTCGCTATAATCGATCTTAGAGCTATACTTATATTATTTAAGTATAAAAATCTAGAGAAATCGAAGAAAGAGAATTAGTTCGAATTACGTAAACGACGTATTTAAGAAAAATACTATTACGATTTAATATAACTAATTATATATCTATCTCTATATTAATAATAGTAAATATTTAATTATAAGAGAAACTAGTCGATAAGACTAAATTAGAAGTTATTTAAAAGTATTAATTAATAGTAAGATTGATAATATATCTTATAATTTAAACTCGTTTAAATATCTATTTTATCGTTATAATTCTTTTCTGATATAATTATAATCTAAATTTAAAATATATTATAGTTATTAAATAAGTTATTTATTATCTAAAGAGAATATTAACTTATAATATTATATATAAAATAGCTAATATATTAAAAGACTATATAAATACTAATTAAGTCTTAGATTAAGAGACTTATTAATCTCTTAAAGTCTATATATTCTTACTCTATAATAAGATAATTAATTAAATATCTAAACGATAATAGTTTATTATATTATTATCTTATAAGATAAATATATAACTTAGACTTAAATAATAAAAAAAGTTATTTAATTAATTAGACTTCTAAGCGAATTAGATATTAACTTTAAATTATTTAATAAACTAATACTAATTAAAGTAAATAACTAGAGAGCTATTATATTAATTAAAAACTCTTACTTCTACTTACGTATTAAGTATATTAATATTTAATAATATTTTATATAAGATTAAGTAAAAATAGAAGTAATTATATTTAAATAAGTACTTACTAACGATATAACTACGAATAAACTTATTAAAGTTCTTATTAATAATAAATTCGCTATATTTATATAAATCAAATGCCACACTTGGATAAGGAGTTATAGATGCCACGGGACGACGTCGCAAGGGTTTTCCGGCAGTGACTAGGGTATAGGGTGTGCTTCGGACGGATGGAAGCATTAGGCTTAGAACTCAGCCTGTTGTAAGGACATTCAAAAAAACCCCTCGGCGAGTTGTTCGCAAGGCTGCGAAGTAAGAGAGCCAATTCAGGAATACGAATACGCTCCAGATGAGGCATGTCAAATGGCTCCTGAGATTTCAGTACGCGTTCAAGCCTAAGACTTCCGTGACCACCAATTGATACTCCACAGACGGGGTTTCTTCTATTATGGTTGCATCTGTGAAGTTTAGACCTGAGAATCTGAAAAGTCCCCGCATCCTTTGCGTAAGCGCTAATGCGAGAATGTGGAGCACAACCTTTTCATAAAACTACTTCATGGCTGTGTATGCTTCATGCTTCGCCGAGGATGACTGCGCAGCGAGCACAATATCGAAAACCGGCAGCGACTCCGCCTTACGACTTTAAAATGGAAGTTTCAAAGTACCTGTGAGCGGTTTTTCGGTCCAAGATTCTGTGTGGAGCAGGCCTCTAGGCCCTGGAGCTTCTCCGAGAGGTGGACCTGGCATAAAGTGGCAAAAGACAGGAAGCGAGCATCACGATCAGGCATCAAATATCAACAAGGCTCCCGACATCTACCATGACTGACAGTTCTGCGTTCAGATTATTTGGATTGGGCTCCTCATGTCGTTTTGTGCTCAGCCGGCTCACCGTTACGGAGGTGCTACGAGTGGCGCGTCAATGAACAGTAAAATCTTACATGCGCTGCGTCTGCGTCCACGTCCGGATACAAGTACAATGGCGCTGTACGAGTACCAGGCTGACCTTGGGCTGCCAGTGGAGCTGCATACATGATAGTCAGTGGGGTATTGGGGCTGATCATTAAGGCTCTGCTGACCTTCAGAAGTCTATAGAATGCCAATAGTTTAAATACTTGTTTACCACGACAAATTTGTGTGCGTTGCCAGCGTTAGGCCTGGCCAATTTGCGCGTGCGAGTCTACAATTCATTCAGGGCCACTGTGTACAAATTTGACAATCGTCATGGGTCTCTTCCAGCGAAAGAAGGCCGCCTTTTTGAGTTGGACTTTACTGCACATTTCAGCGATCAAAGCATTCTTCCGCGCTGTTGGGCTAGAGTCATTAGTTTTGGTACGCCAATTCATGAGGTCGAACACCAAAATGGAAGGGAAGAAACCGGCGATAAGAAATTCGTTCTTGATCGCGCTCGGCAAGTGTGGCGTTCATTTCCTACCAGCGGCAGCTTCTATTACAATGTTGTACATCAATATCAAAGGTTACTGGATCGGCGCGCAAATGGTAGCGATGCATGGAGAGAGTAGCGTCTCCATTGCTCTTTTACAGCTGGTAGCTAAGATGCAGGAGTTACTCATTGTCGCCAGTCTTGCTACCGCCTTATTCGATATCCTCCGCTTCGAGCTATTGTATGGTTCCGGCATTCCTCTTGGCCTCTTGGGGTCTGGCATCACGTTCACCCAGATCAGCTACTTCTGGTCGCCAGACTTCCTAGGAGCGCTGAGGTATGGCATCTCTGAAAAGAAGAAAAAGAAGCTCTGCGTTTGTGTCGCCTTGCTACTTGCAGGTCTCTTAGCCACTACTGCCGGCCCAGCAAGCGCTATTCTCATGATACCGCGCCAACAGGCTTGGGCAGCTGGTACCCTGGACTTCTATTTAAACGGCACGAACAATGACTTTTGGCCTTCTCAATTAACGTATGAAGGTCAATTACAAGATTGGGGTATCTCAGACTGTCGGAACTTCAAAGCCACCAGCACTGCAGTGTGTCCCGCAGGAGGGTATCATTCACTGTGGGACCATTTCACAGCAAGCACCATCTATAATGTTAACGATGTGCTATACGAGGTCAACAACCCCGATACTAGACAAGTCAGGATGGACATTGACAGTCCCCTCGGATACGTGCCCACTCACACGATATCTGGCAACATTAGGGGTCTATCCTTAGAGACTTGGATGTATACAACGCATGCAGCTACGGACAGACTGCAGAAACTTTTGAATGACGTGTGGCAATCTGAAATCTTCCAGATGCGCTACTCTGCCCTCCACGATCGTTCCCGTTACGAATTCTTCTCGACGAGTACATCAACACTCCGAACGCAGGTTCCAGTGGTGCGAGTAGGCTGCGCTCCTGGCCAAAATCTTTCGGAGGGGCAGACAACTATAGAATTCCCTGTCGTGCCGCCATTTGATTATTGGATCAACACAACAAATTTGAGTTTACCAGAGATTCTTCTGAATGCACGCCGTCGAGATCATGCGAAGATTACTTGGTTCGAACTTCCACCTGACTTTGGAGCCACGACTGCTGGTGCTCTTGTCGAACTTCCTTGGGATACCTACACATCCACTAGAGTCGCTTTCGGCTGCTCGATCGATGCGCGATGGACCGATGGTATCATTTCCTACGATGGCCAAGCACCACATGAGGCTCATATCTTACATACTCGTCCAAGCAAAAGGGACAAAGAGTATTTACCGGATAGCAACCATTGGAGAAGGATCGCAGTAGATGCAGATTGGCTCGCAGCTCTCACTCCTCCTGTCCCAAAAACCGGCCCAGGATACGAGCCGTGGGACCCTTCCACCATAGAAAGCATCTTTCATGCTACTGGTCCCACAACATGCGCCTTTTCTCAGAAAAACTTGTCAGCGCACAATCAAACCTATAATTGGAACCACCATAGCCCTTCAGCGATTACTTTCACTGAATACGTGTTGGCCATAGTATTCGCAGATGGTCTCTCTCGCGTAGGCAGTTTCCGTGCCTTCAACACCACTGTGTCGCCAATAACTTCGTGGCTGGTACAGAACTACACCAACATCCTCGACGACCGTAGTCTGAGGCCCCGTCGCCATTCTACAACCCTGCCGAGTCTCCACGCAATGAAGGACGACCCAAAAGCCATGTACAAATTTCGGCTCTTTGCGATGTGATACGTGCTATGAATAAGGAATGGATCCAAAGACTCGCCTTGAGCACCAATATCCCACAGCTGTCTCCAGAGCAAGATGCATGTGGCGGTGGCTTCTTCGTACATCGCCCATAAAGATGATCACGCATATTCGTGGGATACCTTTCTATATGAAGCGTTTCAATGGCAGCACCTTCTCTCTGACGTGATCGAAAAAGGGGCTTTCGTTAAAGTCATGAGTCGGCTGTGTGACCCGCATGGATCTACAACATCGTCATCGTTCCAAGGTCTTTTCATCGACGACGTCCTCCTGCCTGCTGAGCAGGCGACGCTTGTTCGTCTAGTTCGCCATCTGTCATCTACGGGTGTAGACGTGAATATTCAAGAAGAGGGTGATAAAAGTCGAATACATTCCACGACCGACATTAAACAGATTAGGTTGCCCGGAACACTTCAATCAAACATGATAATCAAGGGATGCACGGAATTTCTTGATAGTCAGTCTCTCAATCTTGCAGTAATGGAATTTACTGATCTGTTAACCTCTGTTAGATTTTGGGCACGCCATCATTGTTGAAAACCTCGCTAATCGCCATATGCATTCTTCCTTGTACATCGAGCAACACGTGCCTGGCATTAAAATGCTGGATAGCAACATCATCGGGCGCCTCCAAGAATGGGAGGGGCTAGAAGTATTCCATGGAGTCGTCACAGAAACCCAAAATATGCTCCGACGTGGATTGCTGCACAGTGCTCGAGACGTCGAGGTCATGCTCGTATGGGTAGGCAAAGTGAGCTAAAACCCCATCCTTCTGACATCGAGCTTCTTTTTAAGTGATGTCAGTCGTATTCCAAATCTCCTCAGCTACTACAAAAATACTTGAACGTTGTCAAAAATCTCTGTGACACGGTTATGCAAGAATGGGGGCTACATTGGCGCAATCACTTCTACGAGATCATTTTGGGGACGGTGCTTGCAACGGCCTCGGAGTTCAGCCATTGCCGAGGTCATGCACTTCAGATCCCTCTTGCTAAACCACTCGGCAACCTCAACGTGACCTGCAATGCTCATACGCCGACCGCCAGCACCGCCATATCTCCAGCCGAGCTCGATGCATCCTCATCGTCCTCTTCTTCTTCGCGCCAGACTTCCCTGGCTCGAAGTGAGGACGCCTCTTATTGCCCAGACCCATCCTGCAAGGCTTCCTTCACAGGAACCTCCCAGAGGACAAACTTCGAGCGACACAAAAGGACAGCCCTGCACCACAACCAAGATGCTCGGTTCAAGTGTGAAGTTTGCCACAATCCTTTCAGCCGCTCGGACAATCTGCAACAACATCTACGAAACATACATGGCTTGGATCCGGCGTCGAAGGGTCAAAGGACAAGTATTTTTCCAAAAGAAAGACCCGTGACAGGCTGACAGCTATGGCCACTCGCTCTCTTCCATGGACCCTACCACCAGCTACGATTTTCATATTGTCGTCGTGGCAACAATGACCGTCGTCAGGGGACCAAGAATTGGATTGAGCTTGTGGGGCTCTCAGCCCTAAATAGTTGCAGGGTTTCATTCGACAACGCTGCGCTGGACGGTTGGACTGGCTACTAAGCGTGGGCTTTTGGGGGTTCAACGGCTGGTATCGAATTTTATACGCATTGTCCACCAGATCAACGTTCAACACGTGAAGCTCATGCATCTATTATACACGAGATCTAAAAACGTATATGCATCAGATCGTAAGGAGCGTAGGAGTATAGGGCGTCGCAATAATGCCTTGGCTTTGAATTTGCGGCTCTGAATTGCCAAGATCTTTGCCAAGATGGTGATTTAGCGTGTTCATAAATGTAGCAAATGATGGGCGTCGCGGACTTGCTCCACATCCCACTTGTATTACCTGAACGTTGTCGTTACTTAGATAGATTTCACGATTCCAACGTTGCTGGGTAATCAAGAATCGACTGTAAAGCTAGCTATGTCTGATTCTGTTACGATATCATGTCGTAGTTATCAGGAACAGCATAATATATAATAACTATTTTAAAGTATATATCTATTTAATATTATATATATATATATATTTTAAATATATATATATATATTTATATTATTTATTATGAAAAGCTTCTTTCTTCTAACTAAGAATAAAATCACTTCGTGCCAAGCCTCGCTGTGAGACTATTCTGGGAAACTCTTACCTTATTGAGAAGTAACTAAGGATTTAGTGAGTCTTGACTAAGAACATCAATTTTCTCTCTAATTTTCTCTATTTCTCTCGTCATCCTACAAGTAACATGTCTCAATCAATTTTAGATTTTGGCCTCGCATCCTCTGCAGCTCGACGTACTGCAAATCGACATCAAAAGAATCATCAAAAAAAAATACCGAGCGCGCTCTCTCACAGTTACACTCTCAAATTCAGCTACGATCTTAGAGAAAAGCCCAAAGTCGATAGCAACGTCGATTACCTTCATGCGATATCGCATTACAATCTCAACCTCAGCCTGCGACACCTTAAAATCTTCCCCAAACTACTCTCGAAGGCATTAATTCTCTACGTATTATCGAGACGCAAATGGATATCTTCAAGCCCGGTACTCAGACCCCGATATCAAACGCCCTACATTCGATGTCTACAATACACATCTACGGAAAAATCAAGGTCTCGACGCTCTAAAACGCGCTTACGGAAAAGCCGAAACAAGTCATTTTCATCTTCAACGAGAGGTTGCCGAGGATTTGTGTGATGATCTCGTACATTGAATACGTCTTCAAGAAGAGCGATTCTTATAAGGGCCTATTAGTACCGAATTACAAGACGCCTTAGATTACGTATTTCATATTGTGGAAGATCAGTGTATAGCGGCCGATCAGCCTCAAATTAAGGATCAACCATGAGACTTTGTTATATACGGCGATTCGGCATAGAGATCTTAAGGCTATTCATAAGCAACTTCGGTTTATAATTGATAATCGTTGTAAGGAATTTCTTCAGAGGGATTATAGTTATGATCTTGACGAAGCGGACGACCCCATACCGATCTCAAAATGGGCTTTATGTAAATAATTTCGAGCTTGCGAGGACGGCCCCTCCGGCAGGAGCCCCGGAGGGCCCTCGGAGAGCCCCGGAGGGGAGGGGGTTTAGGGGTCTCCCTTAATAGAATTGGTATTATGCAGTAGTAATCAGTCTTCTCAGTCTTCTCAGTCTTCTCAGTCTTCTCAGTCTTCTCACATTCTCGGTAAGTTTTCCACTACTGGGTAGCCCCGCGCCCCAGCACATATTATCTCTCTTATTAAAAGGCGTAGTCAGAGTATAACCGTTTTTATCTACTGATCTAATTATATTCGATATTTATATTCTATTAAGATATAATAGATAATCGTAATCTTATAAAATACGGCTATATATATTATATTAAAATTTAAACTCTATTATAATAGATATTATTATACTCTATATTATACTCAAACTTTTCTTATTTCTTAAGTTAAGCTTAATCCTTTATTTATATACTCTAAATACTTAATACTTATTATATATTATTATATAAGAGAGAAATAGTAATATTTATAAAACTAAAGTCGAGAATAAATTAAGCTCTCTTCGATTTTATAAAGATATAAAATTAATTAAGTTTATTTATACGTCGATACAATTAAAAGATATATAACTATTACTTATTACTTACTAACTCTATTAAAAATATTTTAAGTATATTAGATTAACTTATCAATCTTTTATAGAAAATCTTTATAAATCTTAAAAGTAACCGTTTATAGGAAGTGAATATTTATAATATTAGAGAAGAGTTATTAATTAGCGAGAGAGAAGATATTATTTAATGAGAGGGTAAGACTCGTCGTTATATGATAATATCGAATTCTTAGAGAATAGTTAACGATCAACGGTTTTATTATTCGATTTCGTTTATATATAATAATCGTTATCGTAATCGAAAATGATTATATACTATATATAAATATATATTTTTAAATTTAATAACGTATTAGACTATAATTACCTTATTAATAATAATTAAATAATTAATATATAGAATAAAATATAAAGTAAATTAAAATATAAATTTATTAATTATAGCATATTATATATAAAAACCTTATTAAAACTATTAATATATAAATTAATATATACTACTAATCAAAACACCATTATATTTATTTTTATCAGGAACAGCATCTCGAACTCAATAAATGGATAATGTGAACTTGTGAGAATCTTTGCAACGGCAAGCGAAAGTCCATGGCTGAAACCGGTGCTAGACTTGTGAGTTTCTCTCTTGGAGCAGATCGACTGGAGAAATGTTATCGTGGCTATCAGCTGTGTGGAAGGAGGGGCGGAGGCAGCAAGTCGCAATGCCAAGCACTCCACATTTATGAACACGCTAAGTCTGACACTGGCGCGGAAACTCGATGTTTCATACAACATTGTGCATATCCGACGACGGCTGTTGCTTATATTCGATCATGGGCTATCAGAAACACTACAGGACCTGCTCGTTTGTTAGCATTACTGGAGAGTTCTCTCCTCTGCAAAGACTCCTTAGTCTAGCATCTACGGAGAATTGCGCTCTTGGCCTCGCAGCGCACCTGCTCGATTCGGAAAAGCCAATATGCAGTGAGCATGCAGGGTAAGATGAAATGGGAAAGAGCGAGTATTACCTGCATTATGTACAGTTTTCGCTATCGTCTCCACCATCGTTGTTTTTTCAATGCGAAGAATATGTCCGGAACATTAATTTGGACTCGTTGTAATTTTGCTTGGGCACGTTCTGGTCTGTACGATATCGGTCGTCATGCGTTCAATCTGTAGCTAGGTGATATGTTCATGGCGCCGAAATTACTGCATCACGAGGTGGGATTCGCTTATGCAGAGATACGGCAGATCTCATGCATAAGCTAATCTTTCGAACGTCTCGGCCCTGCACTTCCCTGTCGATCTTTGACGCCCGGTTTATGTGGTGCTTGCGCAACCCGCTTTCATTGGCTCGACGTGCAGGCTGGGG